TTAAAATAAAAGTGGTGTGTAAAGAGAGAGAGAGAGAGAGAGAGAGAGAGAGAGAGAGAGGGAGAGAGAGAAGATTGTTTAAAAGCTTAAAGCTTACCTTGGCTCCATTTTTTGTATTTTGTCAGATAAGCTTCTCTTGCCTCTTAAATTAATATGCATCAGCTATTAAAAGTTGAAAACATCATGCCTTGAGAATAACTTCCAAACTGCTTGCATGCGTATACCACTAAAATACAGAAAGGAAGAAAAGCCTCTTTTCCCTAATGTACCACACAGCCTCAGGTACCCTCTGCTCCTTCGGAGGAAAGGGCGGGGGAGGAAACTGCGACAGGTATTTTCTTCAGCAGTCCAGAGCCATCCTGCCCTGTGAGCACCGGAACATTGGATGTTCTGGGATTTAGTGTCAGGTCCTCTCTTTAAAAGACTAAACCTGCAACGAACAGGGAATGGGTTAAATGTTTCGCAAACACCTCCATTGTGGGAGACATAGCAGCTAGGCACTGTGTGCTTGTCATTTGTATCTGACAAGCCCTATGGGGTGCGGAGGGCTCTGCAGTGGCACATCAGGTAAGGAGTCAGGGACCTGAAGTCTCATACCAGATCCATCACTGCTGCTGCTTTTCTGAGCTTTCCTGTCTTCCATAAAAGGACGAGACTTACTAGTTAATATATGTAAAGCTTTGACATGGGTCCACTCGTCTAATCTTCACAACAGTTTTAGGAAGCAGTTGCCTTTTTTCTTCCCATTTTCCAGATGAAGACGATGGGACTCGGAAAGGTAGGGCAAGTGGCCCAAGCTCACAGTTAGTAAGTGGCTCCCGAGTTAGTGCTCCATTGCATAATGCGTTTAAAGGTCCTTCCTGCTTGATCATTATGTAAGCCTAGTTGATTCATAATGCACCTATATTTAAAGTACGTTGACCTAGAATAGCAGACTCTCCTTGGGGGTAGGAGGCGGGAGGAGTTCAGGAGGGAGGCAGATGGCCCGGTGTTGTGCATATGTTTTGTCACAAGGAGAATTTCTGAGCAGCTGTGAGCAGTCTCCTTTACC